TTGGTTTCTCAAAGCGTTGGGATTATAGCATGAGCCACCATGCCAGGCCTCTTCCCTCTTACTAGGAGTATGAGTTGCCTCTGAGGCTAAGCATGGAGCTGTGGGATCATGGGAAGGTGAGATTGGCCTGAAGTCCTCATGGGTGCGATTTATAAAGGCATCCAGGGCTTGCCACAGACTCCTATTGAAGCTGGGAACAGCCAGCTACAACCTGGGTCCCAGAAGAAATCACAAGAAAATTTAAAAATGTTCAGGCCAATTAAATGACAGCAAACACACTACATCAAAATTTGTGGGTGCAGCTAATGCAGTATTTAGAGGAAATGTTATAGTTTTAAATATTTATAATTGAAAAAAAGAAAAGTTTCAAATCAATGACCTAACATCTCACCCTATGACGCCTGGAAAAAAAGAGCAAAGTAAACTAAAAATAAATAGAGGTGGTAGGTGTCCATGAGCATGGCCTCCCTGGCTCCCCTTCTTTCACTCCTTGGTGCCCCTCAGTATCCCTAGTGTCAAAGTGCAGTCTCTGGCACATCCTTTCTTGAGGGAGGAGGCAGCATAGTGCAGGGAGCCTCTTGTTGTGGTTGGGCATTGGGGGACTGGGAGGGAACATGACTGTATGTGCTGGGATAACAGTTCTTTTAAAGCCCAAACTCCGCTACAGTTCTTTTAAAGCCCAAACTCCACAAGTTGATGGCTTTTCCCGTTAGGAATCTTTTCAACCTGGACCATTTTCTTTTTGAGAAAAGGAGTAAGATTGAGGAAACACCAAAATACTCCTTAAAACCCCCCTAGCCTTGCCCTGCTTCATTATTGTTATTATTATTATTTAGTGCTCAATAGGAGAATGCTGAAGGGGAAGTTAGCAGGGCATGCACCCCGGGTTCAGACAGAACTGAAAAAAAAGAAAAAAAAAAAAAAAGGATTTTAGTATTCCAAAACTCCAGAAAATGAAGAAAACAAAGTATATTATATTTCAAGAATCAAAGAGGAATACAGTATATTAATCTCTCTTCTGATAGTGATGATGTTGTTTACCCAGATTGCTCCAATACAGCTCAAGAGAAAAATTCAACAAAAACACAATGATTATTGTCTGTGAACCATCTGAAGATGGAGTCCCAAAACCTTCCTACCATAGCAAGTATTAGAAGGTGTTAAAGATGCCATACTTCCAGACTTGAAGAAATTTTTTCCAAGAAGTGACAATGGTTTTATTAAGGTTATACCCTTTTATGGTAATTGATTGTTGTAGCTGTAATGATTAAAATATCTCCTATATCCAGTGCTATTGTTGGATAGCAGTTTTTCTAGAAATATCTGATATTTAAAGATAAGTACTGAATATTACTTTATGTAATTAAATAAATGTAAATACTAGAGATTAAATGAAGGATATATTAATGTTGAGAGCAGACATAAATTAAATGGAAGACAGATAAATAGGAGATAAAACGAACAAAGCCAAAAGTTTATTTTTTTAAATATCAACAAAATTGATAAACCCCTAGTTAGGCTGATCACACAAAAAACATAGAGGTCACAAATTACCGATATCAGTAGAGAAAGAGGGGTTAACACTAGCTATTCTTACAGATATTTGAAGGATAATAAGAGAATATTATATCAACTGTATGTAAACAAATTTAATTTCTTGGACTAAATGGGAAAATTCCTTTAAAATACAACTTTAAAAATCTCTCAGTGTATTAAACAAAATCTAAATAGCCTTATGCTTATTAAGTAATCTGAATTTGCTACAAAAACCCACCCCACAAAGAAAACTCTACTGATAAATTCTATCAAACACTCAAGGAAAAGATTATGCCAGTCTTACACAAACTATTTCTGACAATAAAGGAATAGTTCTCAATTCATTTTATGAGGCCAGGATAACTCTAATAATAAAACTTGAAATAGTGTTGCAAACAAAATTTAAAGATCAATGTGCTTCAGGAAGATACATGCAAAAATTCTTAATGTAATGTCAAGTCAAATCCAACAGCATGTTAAAGGATAATGCATTATGACCAAGTGTGGGGCTTTAGCCAGGAATACAGGTTGTTTTAACATTTGAAAATCAGTGTAATTCACCATATTGAAATAATAAAGGTGAGCTCTCTAGATTCCACCTCTCTGGGCAGGGTATCCATGAAGGAAAGGCAGCAGCCTCAGTCGGAGGCTTACAGATAAAACTCCCATCTCCTTGGGACAGAGCACCTGGGGGAAGGGGTGGCTGTGGGCACAGCTTCAGCAGATTTAAAAGTCCCTGCCTACTGGCTCTGAAGAGAGCAGCGGATCTCCCAGCACAGTGCTTGAGCTCTGCTAAGGGACAGACTGCCTCCCCAGGCAGGCCCCTGACTCCAGTGCCTCCTTCAGGAGAGACACCTCCCAGAAGAGGTTGACAGGAACTCATACAGGAGAGCTCCAGCTGGTATCTGGTGGGTGCCTCTTTGGGACAAAGCTTCCAGAAGAAGGGGCAGGCAGCAACCTTTGCTGTTCTGCAGCCTCTGCTGATGATACCCAGGTGAACAGGGTCTGGAGTGGACCTCCAGCAAACTCCAACAGAGCCCCTCTGGAGAAGAGGGGCCTGACTGTTGGAAGAAAAACTAACAAACAGAAAGCAATAGCACCAACATCAACAAAAAAGGATGACCACGCCAAAACCCCTTGTGAAGGTCACCAATATCGGAGACCAAACGTAGATAAATCCATGAAGATGAGGGGAAAAAACAGTGCAAAAGGCTGAGAATTCCAAAAACCAGAATTCCTCTTCTCCTCCAAAGGATCACAACTCCTTGCCAGCAAGGGAGCAAAACTGGATGGTGGAGTTTGACAAGCTGACAGAAGTAGGCTTCAATAGGTAGATAATAACAAACTCCTCTGAGCTAAAGGAACATGTTCTAACCCAATGCAAGGAAGTTAAGAACCTTGATATAAGGTTACAGGAACTGCTAACTAGAATAATCAGTTTAGAGAAGAACACAAATGACCTGATGGAGCTGAAAAACACAGCATGAGAACTTCGTAAAGCATACACAAGTATCAATAGCCAAATTGATCAAGTGGAAGAAAAGATATCAGAGATTGAAGATCAATTTAATGAAATAAAGTGTGAAGACAAGATTAGAGGGGAAAAAAAGAATGCAAAGGAATGAACAAAGCATCCGAGAACTATGGGACTATGTGAAAAGACCAAACCTACATTTGATTGGTGTCCCTGAAAGTGATGGGGAGAATGGAACCAAGCTGAAAATGACACTTCAGGATATTATCCAGGAGAACTACCTCAACCTAGCAAGGCAGGCCAACATGCAAATTCAGGAAATACAGAGAACACCACAAAGATACTCCTTGAGAAGAGCAACCCCAAGACACATAATCGTCAGATTCACCAAGGCTGAAATGAAGGAGAAAATGTTAAGGGCAGCCAGAGAGAAAGGGTGGATTACCCACAAAGGGAAGCCTATCAGACTAACGGGAGATCTCTCTGCGGAAACCCTACAATCCTGAAGAGAGTGGGGGCCAATATTCAACATTCTTAAAGAAGGAATTTCCAACCCAGAATTTCATATCCCACCAAACTAAGCTTCTTAAGTGAAGGAAAAATAAAATCCTTTACAGACAAGCAAATGCTAAGGGATTTTGTCACAACCAGGCCTGCCTTACAAGAGCTCCTGAAGGAAGCACTAAATATGGAAAGGAAAAACCAGTAACAGCCACTGCAAAAACATAACAAAATGTAAAGACCATCATCACTATGAAGAAACTGCATCAACTAATGGGCAAAATAATCAGCTAGCATCTAATCACGGGATCAGACTCACATATAACATAACAATATTAACCTTAAATGTAAATGAGCTAAATGCCCAATTAAAAGACACAGGCTAGCAAACAGGATAAAGAGTCCAGATCCAATGTGCTGTATTCGGGAGACCCATCTCGCATGCAAAGACTCACGGGATCAAAATAAAAGGATGGAGGATGATTTACCAGGCAGATTGAGAGCAAAAAAAAGCAGGGGTTGCAATCTTAGTCTCTGATAAAACAGAATTTAAAACAACAAATATCAAAAAGGACAAAGAAGGGCAATGCAACAAGCAGAGTTAACTGTCCTAAATATGTATGTACCCAATACAAGGGCACCCAGATTCATACAACAAGTTCTTAGAAACCTAGAAAGAGACTTAGACTTATCCTTTACCTCCAAAATTACTTAGGAACTTAAATTTCTAAATCATGTTAGGGTGCTACTTTTAGTTGTTGTTCATATCTATTTTTACAGCATTGTACTGAAAAAAAAAATTAGGGAGGGCCTGAATATTTTCCTCTGAGAATTTGTTGCAATTTTCTTTGTAGCCGTATATACAGTTCACTAAAAATATTACATAAATCTTGGAAAATAATGCATAGTGTCTTTGTGGGAGAAAACATTTGTCTATGGCTATTAATGAAATCTGTCAGTTTTATTTTCCAGCCCTCTATAAAAGTGTTTCCGGAACACTGAAATATAACATAAGACTTAACTAAACAAAAAAGGGATTGTGTATACAGTGAACGATTTTCATTATCCTACTAAAATTTATGTGTACTTCAAAAGGCTTTTGATTATAAGCAAACATATATATTTTAATAAATTACCTCTGAAAATAACTTTCTAAATATGTCTTTAAAAAACAAACCTCGGCCGGGCGCGGTGGCTCAAGCCTGTAATCCCAGCACTTTGGGAGGCCGAGGCGGGTGGATCACGAGGTCAAGAGATCAAGACCATCCTGGTCAACATGGTGAAACCCCGTCTCTACTACAAATACAAAAATTCAGCTGGGCATGGTGGCGTGTGCCTGTAATCCCAGCTACTCAGGAGGCTGAGGCAGGAGAATTTGCCTGAACCCAGGAGGCGGAGGTTGCGGTGAGCCGAGATCGCGCCATTGCACTCCAGCCTGGGTAACAAGAGCGAAACTCCGTCTCAAAAAAAAAAAAAAAAAAAAAAAAAAAAACCTCAGTTTTGAATGAACACTTCCATTATCACTTTCTCTTTCAATAACACCTTTTGTAGATTAAAAGAATAGCCTTTCTTCTCAGTACAAATAGTATAATATTAAGTAAATGAGTGTTTTTCCTGAAGTTATTCCTCACATAACAATCCTAGAGTTTCTTGCATGTATTTGCTTATGTTTAGTAAGAGCTGAGCTTAAGCTGAAAGATTTCCCACATTCATTACACTGGTAGAGTTTCGCTCCTGTATTCGTCCTCTGATGTCGAATTAGTGAGTTTCTACAGCAAAACAGTTTCTGACATTTCTTACATAGGGTTTCACACCAGAATGAATCTTTAGATGCTCATTAAGTTGTGTACTTCGACTGAAGGTTTTTCCACATTCTTTACAACCACAAGGCTTCTCTCCGGTATAAGTTCTCTGGTGTTCAGTAAGATGTGCACTCTGATTGAAGGCCTTTCCACATGCATTACACTCATAGGGTTTTTCTCCAGTATGAATTCTTTGATGTTGAATGAAGGCTGGGGTATGGCTTAATGCTTTCCCACATTCATTTCATTGATATGGTTTCTCTCCTGTGTGGGTTCTCTGATGTCGGATTAGTGACATACTGTGACAAAAAACTTTCCGACATTCCTTACACTGGTAGGATTTTTTCCCCAGAATGAATTCCCTGATGTTCAATTAGGTGGCTGCTGTGGCTGAAGGTTTTTCCACATTCAATACATTCATATGGTTTCTTTCCAGTATGAATTCTATGATGTTGAGTGAGGGCAGAGATATGACTGAAGGCCTTCCCACATTCATTACAAGGATAGGGTTTTTCTCCAGTATGGATTCTATCATGATTTCTAAGGGATGACCTATGACTAAAGGCTTTTTCACATTCATTACACTCATAAGGTTTCTCCCCAGTATGGGCTCTTTGATGCTGAATAAGTTTAGTGCTCTAAAAGCTTTCCTACATTCATTGCATTCATAAGGTTTCTCTCCAGTATGTATTCTTTGATATTGGATAAGGTTAGTGTTCCAGGTGAAGGATTTACCACCTATTTTACATTCATAAGGTTTCTCTCCAACATGTGTTTTCTGATGCTGGATCAAGGATTCAATACAAGTGTGGCCTTTCCCACATTCAGTACAGAGGTATGGTTTCACTGTCATACAAATTTTCTTAGATTCCATCAGTACTGGACTATGTTTTCACATTTATTTATTTTTAAATTTTTGTGGGTATGTAAAGATGTTGGCTTTACATTTATTTCCAGAATAAGTAAAGTTTGAGATACATTATTTATCTCAATGTTGGCTTTACATTTATTTCTAGAATAAGCAAATTTGAGATACTAATGCAATATTTCTTATATCTGATAAATTATTTTTCAATCGTGAGTTGCCTTTTGAAAAAATCAACTACAGCAGAATTATGCTTCAGGTTCCTACCATTGATGTCACAGTTATAGTAGTCCTGCCTTATCCACAGTTCCACTTTCCATGATTTCAGTTGTCCATGGGCAATTGTGGTCAAAAATTATTATATGGAAAATTCCAGAAATAAACAATTTATAACTTTTAAATGGTGTGATTTTCTGGGTACTGTGATGAAATCTTGTGTGATCTGCTCTGTCCTGCCTGGGATGTGAATCATCTCTTTGTCCAGTGTATCCACACTATATATACGACCCATCCATTGGTCACAGTAGCTCGTACTAACAACCTGGTTAGGGTTTGGTACATCAGTGATTTCAGATATCTTCTGAGTGGTCTCAGAGTGTACCCCCCATGAATAAGTGGAGACTACTGTCTGAGGTCCTTTTCTTATAAAAACTCTCAGTTGTTTAAAAAGCTTTGATCTTTGATTAAATGTTTCCCTTGTTATATTCATGATCTTCCTTTTGAATTGCTTTTTCTTGTAATCTGGTGATACTGGTGTTTCTGAAACTGGTCTTCAAATTCCAGTTCTTCTAATGTGCACTATTAGGAACCATCATTTGAAAAAAAATTCTAACATCATATGATGGCATTATTTGGTTTTCAGAAATTTTCTTCTTTGGAGTAGATGCTCTGACTTTGGATATAGTATCCAGGATTAAGTAGAAGATATTATCTTTTCCCTCTGAAATACAAAGGCAGAAAACAAGATTCATTCATCAGTTGCAGAAAATAGTAATAAAACAGTACTATGATAAAATGTAAGATTTTTCAATATAGGTACTGATTAATAGGGAAGTTTAAATGTGAAATGAATCCATACATATGTCCGAAGCACAGAGTTTCTCTACTCACAACATTTCTGACAAGCTGTATAGCAAGGACAACATTTTTTTTCTTTCTATAACTCATACTAACACTTCTGTGTGCAAATGTGTGGGGGTTTTTTTCCTATTCTTACCAATTCTCCAACTCTCTGGACAGCGACTGGATGTCCTACAATTTACTTTAATTCCAACACTACCTATCTGGAATAAGCATTATATCCCTCAAGTTAAAGGGCTTAGTCCCACAAGACTCCCTCCACTTCAGATGATAATCACAAACTGGTCCTCCCATACTTTTGAACGACTGGCTATAAGTTGAGGGTTCTTATAACCCCTGCCTCCTCTAGTTCAATAATTTGCTAGAATGGCTCACAGAACGCAGGAAAACACTTTACTTACATTTCCCAGTTTATTATAAAGGATACAACTCAGGATCAGCCATTCAGAAAGAGATGCACAGGGCAAGGTAAGCAGAAGGGAAAGGAGTATAGAGCAGAGCTTCCATGCCATCTCTGGCCATGCTACCCTTTCAGCCCTTGATGTGTTCACCAACATGGAAGCTCATCAAATATCACTGTGCATGAGTTTTTACAGAGCTTGATCTCCATCCCCACATCTTCCTTCCCAGAGGCTGGTGGGTGGAGTTGAAAGTTCCAACCCTCTAGTTGGTTGGTCTTTTTAGTGATCAGACACATTATTGAGGCTATCTAGGGGCCCTACCCTATTTCACCTCATCAACATAAACTCAGGTATGATTTTTACAAAGGTGAATTATGAACAACAAGTGACATTCCTATCACTCAGGAAATTTGGAGGGCTTTCAAAGCTCTGCGACAAGAATTAGAAATAAAGACCAGATCTATTTTGTATGATATTGCAATAGGTGTGATAAAAGAAATGGTAGCATTAAGACAAAGTGCATAATAAAATCAAAGGTAAATATTCAGTAAAATAAATGTTGTGACTAAAAGACAATGAAGCTAATTCAAATGTATGTATGTTTTTGGAAAGCAGAGGCAAAAAACAAGAAAAGTGAAATGGGATCAGATAATAAAAAATTCTCACACTAACAGAGAAATTCAATGTCATCTAGCAGGAGACAGGAAAACTGAAGTTTTCTGTCAGTGCATTAATATGATAAATATATATTAGATGTGATGTTTTAGATAAAGAGCTTATTAATTTCATCTAAAATGTGTAAGAGATGGTCAAACTCAGCAAGAAAGCATATTATGAATGATACAAGCCTGGATTGGGATAATACTAGCAAGAACTCAGTATAAGTGTAGATAAGACAGAAAAAAGAAGAACAAAAAATGCCGAAATAGATTACAGGAAACTTTTGCGAAACAAGATTCATAAAGATACAATGGTTTCTAGCCAAGGAGGCTGTAAGAATAGTGGTACTAATGATAGAAAAAGAAGCAAAGAGAGGCGACTCAGGGTAATTTGGTGATTTTACTTTCACCATATTGAGGTTAAAGTGATTTAAAGTGAAGTATGACATTCTAATGAAGACAGACTCTAAGCAGGGGAATATATGAAGATAGAATGTAAATGAGACACTTAAGTTGAAAAAAGTTATGTAAGAAAGTTAATAACATGGAAGGACTATTTGAAGATGTTAGAATGCACTAATTTTTTGAGATGAAAATAAACAAGTAGAAAATAAACCATAAAGGCACATGCATTCATGTTAGGGAGCAAGTGAAGTTAACAAAAAAAGCATTTAGAAAGAGATTAGAATGGAAAATAATCTGGTGACATCACACAAGCTAAAACAAAATATCAAACATGGTAGAAAGTCTGAACACAGGAAGGACTAAGAATGGGTTGCTATCAAGAAGGAATTCAAGAATCTCTTAAAAATAATTTTATCAGAAGACAAGACTCTAACTCTAAAAGAGAAAAGGAATCAAGGATATTAGCTAACCTCAATACCTCAATATGTGACCTTATTTGGAAACAGGATCGCTGCAGATGTAATTAGTTAAGGTGAGTTCACACTAGAATAGGGTAGGTTCCTAATCCAATGTGGCTGGTGCCCTTTTAAGAAGATGGTCATGGGAAGACCCACAGACATACAGAGAAGAGAAAGCCATGTGATGAAAGGGCAGAGAATGGAGTTATGCAGCTGAAAGCTAAGGGATACCAAAGATTCCCAGTAAACCACCTGAAGCTAGGAAGAGGCAAAGAATGACTTCCCTACAGGTTTCAGAGGTAGGATGCCCTTGCTGACAGCTTGATTTTGTAATTCTAGCCTCAGAACTGTGAGATAATAAATTTATGTTGTTTTAAGTTACTCAATGTGTGGTATGTTGCTAGGGCAGTGATAGACTAATGTATACACCAACTTAACTGACTAAACATTCACTAACAACTAAACGTTTGTGTTCCCCCAAAATTCATATGTTGAAATTTTAGCCCCTAAGGTGATGGTATTAGGTGAGGCCTCTGGGAGGTAATTAGGTTATGAGGATGGCTGCCTCACCAATGGGATTAGTGCCCTTACAAGAGGACACATGAGAGAAATGATCTTTCTCTCTGCCATGTGAGGAAACAATAAGATGGCCATCTGTAAACCAGGAAGAGGGCCTTCAACAAGAACCTGACCATGATGGCACTCTGATTTTGGATTTCCAGACTCCAGAACTGTGAGAAAAAAATGTTTGTTGTTTAAGTCACCCAGTCTATAGTATTCTGTTACAGTAGCCCAAACTGACTAAAACACCTATATAAGACATACTTTTCAAAAAGAAAAAAGATGAGGATTGAGGGTGGGGCACTTGCCTATACTAGAGATCCAAAGATATTCTATAGCTATATTAATTTTAAAACAGGGTGGTACTGGCACAGGGACAGACTGAAAGAATAAGAAAATGAAACTGAGTCTAGAAATAGGCCCATTATTTTGTAGGGATTTAATATATGATAAAGGTAGCATTTCAAATTGTTTGAGGAAGGATAAACATTTAATAAATAATCTTAGGAAAACTGGCTTATCCACTTAGGGAAAAAATAAAAAGCTACTGCCTTATAAAAAATAATTATAAGTGAATTAAAGACTTAAACATAAAACTAGAAATATAAGGCCAGGCGTGGTGGCTCAAGCCTGTAATCCCAGCACTTTGGGAGGCCGAGGCGGGTGGATCACGAGGTCAAGAGATCGAGACCATCCTGGCCAACATGGTGAAACCCCGTCTCTACTAAAAATACAAAAAATTAGCTGGGCATGGTGGTGCGTGCCTGTAATCCCAGCTACTCAGGAGGCTGAGGCAGGAGAATTGCCTGAACCCAGGAGAAGGAGGTTGCGGTGAGCCGAGATCGTGCCATTGCACTCCAGCCTGGGTAAAAGGAGTGAAACCCTGTCTCAAAAAAAAAAAAAAAAAAAAACTAGAAATATAAAAGAACCAGGAAAACTATCAGAAGAATATTTTTATAATCTTGCAATGGGGAAATCCTTAATAAAATATAGAATCTGGAGGCTACATAGAAAAAAACTTACAGATTTGACTATACAAACATAGAAGGCAAACAACAAAATTTTAAAAAGACATATTGGGACTAAATATTTGCAACCAATAAAGCATAAAGGACCATTTTCTGTATTATGTAGAGTTTCTACAAATAGGAAAAATGTTTAATGCAATACAAATCTAGGCAAACAATATGAACAGGAAATTCACAAAAGAAATACAAATGATCAAAATATAAAAAGATTTTCAAGCTCACTTCTAATCACAGAAATACAAATTAAGATATCAATTTTCATTCATCAGATTGGCAAAAATGTTAAAAACAGGCAATATTCAGTACTGTTTAAATACTGGGGAAATGGCTGCTCTCACTCTTAGTGGAAAAAGTTTATTATTTCTATTTATTTATTGGAAAGTCACATTAAAATCACACCAGGCTCATGACAAATTACCTTTGAGTAGAACACATTGTTAATAATGTTATATTACCTGCAAACGTGAACTCACAGCCCCTTGAACTTTTTCTCTCATTACATCATTACATTAATTGTACATCAGTGTTCTACTTCCGATGTCTGTCTGCCTTCCTAAACTATAAGCTTCTTGAGAACAGGACAGTCCTCTTCTGTCCTGACAGTTGCTATTCTGTCTTCAGTGCCACACACATAACCTGGCATTCACTATGCATCTAGCAAACATTACTTGAATGAATGTATGAATAGACTTCTCTTGATTCCCAATTCAGTAGTCTTTGTACCTGAAATAGGAATTCGGCAGGACTAGTTTATAAGACAATGAGTCACATGACACCACTGATGAGACAGGAGAAAGTAAACAACAGGTAACAAGACCCTGCCAGTAAGAGGCATATGGTACAGAAACAGCCTATTTCTCTAAAAGCTCAAGCATGAAAAATTAACCCAAAAAAAGAAAAGAAAGAAACCAGCCTAAACTGGCTAGAATCAAGATGGTAATGAAAGCAACCTTCCCTGCTCATTATACGCTAATTGTAACACATTAGCACGCTAAAACACACCCCCACCAGAGCCATGACAGTTTACAATTGCCATGGCAATGCCCAATGTTACCCTGCATGGTTGGACAGGGAAGCCCCCAGTTCTGGGAGCATCCCCGCTTCCCAGAAAACTCATGAGTACTCTACCTCTTGTTTAGCATATAATCATGAAATAGCCGCAAAATAGCCAGCTAACTATACCTGCTCCCCATGCTACTATACCTATGGGGTGGCCCTGCTCTGCCTGTGGAGTAGCCACCCTTATATTTCACTTTTTAATACACTTGCTTTCACATTATTCTGTTGGCTTGCTCTTGAATTCTTTCCTGCACAAAGCCAAAACCTCACTTGGCCTCCCGGGCTAAGCTTCAGTTTTGGAGTTCACCTTGTGACATATCTGTAACATGCTTCTAGTTAAACCTGCTATCTTAAAGAAGTAGGATTCAAGCCATTACTTTGTTTCCTCTCTCAACAGTCCATGAATCTGTCCAGATTGCCTTACAATATTGCCATATAAACTTCAGAATTTGATAGGATTTGGGATCCCAAAATACCATCTAATCTGTCTCTCTTCCACCAGACCTACCCACAGCGAAGCCATTATTAATTATATTTTTCAAATCAAAATTTATTGAATACCTTCTAACTGCAAAGTAAGGTTAATGCTTCTTGTGGCTAGATTTTATCTTCCTCAGCAAAGACTATGATCATTATAAAACAAACAGACAAACAAAAACTCCATGTACTTAGCAGGGTACCCCTGATAGGGTAAATGTTTTAATGAATGTTTGATGATTAATGCTCTGAAAGCTATTTATTCTTTCATCCAGTTTAGTTCCAGCAGCCTGCCTGTCCAAATTCTAAACTACACTTCTGCTAGTATTGCTGAATCTGTGAGGTTCCTGGGTCACAGTAGCCAGATAGAACTCATGACTAACTCCCCAAAATATGACTGTAGACCCTGTCTTAACAACTTCCTAGTATACCGGTGACCTGACAGCTGTTATTAAAAACCCCTGTGGTTACCATGTTCTCAACTCATAATGATGCCTGCATTCTGCCAGGGAAAATTAGCTGTGAGTATCCTAATCTTTGCCACATTCCACAGGCCATCCAACTGTGAGTTCCTTTGCTCTTTCAAGGCTGACTCTGATGTTGTTAGAACAGTAAAGAC